TGGTGATGGTGGTGAAGGTGTTTTTCGTGGTGGTGGTGGTGGTGGTGGTGGTGGACATTTCAAACTGGCATCATGCAACTAATTTTGCAGGTTGCAATACCGCTAGGTTCCCTTTGACTAACTTAACACATCTTCAGGCAAAATTTCACAACGCAGCAAGGGATCCCGCAAGCAAAGATTGGTCGTAACAAGATGATCACTAGGGAATTGCACTTCTGATCCTTGAGTTAAAAGCCAATGTAATTTGTTTTTTGATTTCTCCAACAGCAGATTTTGTTTGGAAAAGGATTTGACAGTGACTGAGGTTAGAAGAACTGTTTTGTGAGTGTGATGTGACTGTTCCTTGTTGTTGCGTCAGAGTTACGCGACACATAATTTAACTCATGAAGTCTGCAGATGCAGAAGACGTTTTATTTAGTACACAAAAACGAACAATAAATTTTCACGAAGCATCTTCCACTAACGTTCATGCACGCTTAGTTCGATGCGCTCAAAGCATTTAGTGAAACCGCTTGGCAATACCTAAGCGGGTAATCACTCTTCTACTAGTTCAACACATACCTGAACGTATGCTTTACAGATGAAATAGGTAATATACTTCACTGTAAGGTAGCTATTTCATGAGAAACTGACAATATCTAGACTGCGCGAGCACGTCCTACTACTTAAATGAATAGATGATCATGCATTTATATTCGAACTCCTTACTGAATTATCTCAAAACTCCGCACATAAACATGATCGAGCAAGTGTCCTTTTTTCGAACACGAGACTAGAAATGACCTGGTCGAATTTATCATCAAGTTCGCGGATAAAAAGAATGTGGGCTAGGAAAGCGATAAGCAAACCCACATGGTGAGCGTCAAGGGAATATTGGTGAAGCTGATCAATCAAACGAGGACCGCAAATGGAATACTTAATTAAACAAGGAAGACATTTTGAGCAAGTGACGGTCAACTAAACAAATATTGGTGATCACGTGACCGTCATGTTTCCCATTTCGACTGAGACCATGCTCACTTAATTTTCTCCATCCTTATTCAAGTATGCCTCAGCAAAACGTTCCTTTTTGACGGTTTGAAACAATATGAGATACGAACGGCGAGACCGAACCACTCAAACAGACCGGAGGATACGAGTGACCTGAAACGAACAACCATAATGAACAAAAGTGAGATAGCTGATGGCCGGTGAGATTGAGTTCAGTAGTAAACAGCGTGAATACCGCATTCAAGGTCATTCAAGGTTAATTTTGATGGGATCGAACAAAACAACAGTATATCGGAAGTTTCATTTTATTTCAGGTTGCGTACAGATCAAACTGTATTATTTCATCAAACTTAAGATATAGTTATAGGTAAAATTCGGGTACAGCATTCAATTTATTCCCCATACAAACATCATGTAGATCCCAGCGAGATTTGTACACGAGAAAGTGTCTCTGCGATCAGATCGCTAAGTCTTGGTCTGGCTATCTTGCCCGCGAATGATTGGTTACATACATGTAACTTTACATGACAATTGGACAAGAGATTGGAATTTATCTTACAAAAATTCGCAATCAAAAAGTTTTTTGCTGTTTTGCCGTTTTGTAGAATTTCGATTTGATATTATTAAATGTTATTGAAATGTGATAACTAATCTTTTACTGGAGACATTTTGATGCAACACTTGACCATTTCAGTTGGTTCTTACAAATTAATTGCAAATTTTGGTGAAATATTGGGATAATAAAAAAATTCTTTTTCCTTCATCGCTTAGGGTAACTGCTGATTTACTTTTAAAAATAGTTGAGGAGAATCAAAGTGTGTTAGTATTAGTAATTCGTTCCCCCCAGATGAGCAACTCAGTTCGAACAACGATAATAATGATCTGTTCAATAGGCAAACAAATGGCTGCTCAACGCCGTCTAGAAGCATACAGCGGTTTCAGAGGATCTCACTGCTCATTAGGCACACCTAATCGAATACCTCGAAACTTCGTGACTTCGGAATGACAGGAGGATTGTGGGCAATTCTATCCACTCATTCACTTACTACCGAATATGATATCGATAACAATTAACTGCATCACTGTGTTTGTCGGGGTCTGATGTACCTAATTCAGAAAAAGTATCCTGGAAATTATCGAAACGATTTTATCGAGGTTAGTTAGTTTCAAAACAACTCCGGATGTGCAATTGAGAAGAATACAGGAGTTGACCAAACTCATACAATTTTGATTCACCGCCAACTTTATCCTTAATTTTTTTCTATGATCTTTTGGATTTGGGCGACCTTCAGTAACGCCATAAAAATCTTAGTAGTCCGAAGCTCATTACTCGTTCATATTTGAGAAATATTTTATACAAATTTATTCTTTCTAGTGACTGAATAATGTTCTACGAAAATGTTTATTCAGCTCAATATGCTAATTTTAAATTACAGTGTCAAATTCATTCGTTGCCCTTCAACAGTTGCGATTTGAATATAACCGCAAATTTTTTTACGTTTGTTAGAAATGCGGATAAGTTGACTCCTTAGACAAAAAAGTCACAAATCGCTTTATTCATCCTGATGGATGGATTCTCAGCTTCTTGCACTCCAGGATCATTTACCAAGGCATACAGTCACAATGAAAACGTGACAAGCAGTTTCGTAAATTCAAAGGTATGTGTGACGTAAAAGTTTGAAAATGGATATAAATTGCGTGGGAAATTCAAAAAGTTTTCACGAACGGATGCCTTTTGAGCCAGAAATCTCGAAATATAGGGGATGACTGACAAACGGTAGGCAGTGGCGGAAGCATACACCAGTTTATAACGGCATCTAGATACAGCAGTGGATACGCATTGTTTAACTTCTCCATGTAATGGCTGAGTGATGTTTGATAAAATATTGTTGCAGAAGTTATCGCAAGAGGTAAAATGTTTGTCGGCGATTGTACGAGAAATAATTTTAATAGACCGGCGCAGAATTGTGTAATCTTTAACTCTAAGACTGGTAACTAAAACTGGGGAGTAATAGAGAAGATGAGTAACAACACAAGAAAATACAAATCGAGTGTAACTTCCAAAGAACGTAAGCGGGAAGTAAAGAAACGCAACCGTCGAATCTTTAGAAAGTACAAGTTAAATGTGAGGTCCAGGTGAGATCTTGAGAGATAGTGACACCGAGGTATTGTATAGAGTTTACTGGGGGAACAGGCTGCTTGTCAACATAGAGTGCAGAACAATTTCTTTCAAAAGAATTCAGCCGTTCTCCTATGGCGAGCGAGAAGGTGACATCGCTGCATTTAGATGCATTGAGAAATAACTTGGAAGACGAAGACCACAAGTTTAAGGCAGCTAAACTGGTTTGACGATGTGAGAATCGGAAATCACTTTGGAATTTGGAACCAACTGTGACATCATCAGCATACTTATTAAGAAGATCATTTGGGTTAGTGGAAAGGTTACGATTAAAGAAAGAGAAAAGAAAGAAGAACAGAATTGCTCCCCGGAGCACCCCTGAGTTGACTGATAGGGAGTCAGAGGTTTTTCCAAGAAACGTTGTGAATTGTGTTCCACCAGCAGAATAACCTTGGAGTAGAGAGAGGGTATTATCGGACAACCCAGCACCTTGGAGTAGAGACAAAGCCTGCTCCCGACAACACAGTTAAAAGCATTACTATAGTCGGGGAAACACAAACAAAATGCCCCGCTGTGCATTTCTAGGGATCGCAAATCTGAGTTTAATAAAATAGCGAGAGCATCTAAAGTAAGACGTTGTTTGTGATAAGCGAATTGGTTGTTATCTAGCTGCCCAGTATTGGGAATGCTGTTACTGAGCATAAACTTTTTAAAAAGTTTTAGTAAAATAGAAAAGCAGGCGATTAGTCGTAGGTTGCCGGCTTCTTTTTGGGGGACTGGTGTAATGCGCACAGATCTCCAGGAGTCGACAAGTTTTTGTTCCTTGAAGCAGCAATCTGGCTCCGCCAGATAATGCGCACATTCCCTGAGGATGACTGGACATAGTCCGTCAGCACCGGAAGATTTTGATATTTTGAAGCACTTCAGCTGTGTCTGCACCTGATTAGAGTTTATATGTGAAACTTCATTATGGTCATCCGATTGGAAATATGGATGCGATATTTCAGTTTGATTTGACATGGAATATATGCAGTTGAGTGCATCTGCTGTGGGTTGAGGCCCGCGTAGTCGGACTTTTGTTCCGCAGATTTTTTCACAACACTCCAGATCTGCTTGCAATTCCGATAACCAAGTAGGGTTTCAGTGTAAAGTTTGTCAAGGTTTTGGATCTCATTCGTGATCAGCACTGACGTTTGCTTAACTAAAAGTCGATCGCGATTTTTATATGCCCATTCCTTGGTTCGTCTGAGAGTCTTCAAAGTGGGAGAAGAAAATCTGGCGGGACTGATGTATATAGGGGATATGGAGCAGCAAATGTCAAAACAGAAGTTCAAATAGCTCGTGAGGTGTTCACACTCGGTCGAGACACTGGGATCAAAGAACTGATCAAAATTTCTACCAGAGACCATTTCTCTCAGTGATCTTCNATGTACTTGTCAGAAAAAATGATGTTTCTTTGAGTGGACGTTTGGCAAAACATTGATGATCCAATGATCGGAGTTTGCACGGCAAACAGGCCAGGATCGTTCAAAAGCATAAGATCCAGCTGTGCGTTTCCTCTTGTGGGGACATTTACAATATTGTGGAGAGAGGGACATGTCAAGAAATGAATATCTGCATGGTTAAAATCGCCAGTAACAATGAAAAGAGAGCGTTCCGTGTGGTTAAAAAGTTCGGATATGAATACATCAGCAAACGTCTGTACATCAGAAGTTGTACTGGAAGGTGATGTTTGATGCCATGCTGGAACGATATTTACTAAGAAAATGAGGTTTACATTCAACCGGAAGACATGAGATATATCCTTCATTGTAGGTGAAGATAATCTTTGTAGACTTACAACAATGCGATTTGGTGTAGATTATTAGACCACCTCATCGATTTCGTTCTGAACAGTTTCTATCCAACCGATGCATTTCAAAGAAATCCAGCTCAATCAAAGATTCGTTGATGTCAGGATACAACCAAATTTCTTGCAGCATGATTACCCCCAATGCACCGTATTTTTTCATCCTTATAAATTTCGTGAAGTCGCTCATTTTCTAAACGTTTAATGAGAAAATAGAAGGGATAGGCATT